TGCATTGCTCGCACAGTCCTCCAGGGCTCTATGGTCCTGCTCTTACAGTCATTCTGCAACAGCTTTCTTCTGGGCCTCAGCATTCTGATCCTGGCTGCTGGGGCCATCCTGCTTGCCATCAGCCGTCGCCAATGCGGTCACTTGTGGCCATGGGGCCCACTTGGTTCCAGCACTGGTGGTGCCTGTCCCCAGAAACGTGACTGTGCCACAATGATGTTCCCACAGGGTGATGGCCAGGGCAAGCAACAGCGCAGATGGAGGCAGCAATTTCGGGCAGCAGAGCCATGTAAGTCCCCGGCAGGTCCCCCAGGGGAGCCCAGCCCCATGTGGAGCAGGCTGGGTGTACGGTCCCAGGTTGGTTCCGTCCCCCCGACACTCAAGAACCCCTCCCTGCCTTGCAGGTAACTCTGTGTCCCCCCTGTGCAGGCCCTGGCGCTGCAGGCCCAGCTGCACCGACTCCACCACGGCTGCGCAGGAGCTGCAGGAGCTGGTGCTGTCAGCGAGGGCTGGGAGAGGAGCTGCAGCTGCTCTGGATGCTGGCACGTGGCAGGCACTATGGCAGGACCTGGAGGAGCTGGTGGAGCAGGGAGAGCTGAGCTGCTGCGGCTCCCCAAGTTACCCCGAAAGCATCAGTTCCAGCGAGAGCCTCAGTCCCCCCGAAAGCCTGAGAGCAACGCTCCTGACTGAAGATGAAGGAGCCCCTATGGAGGTGAGGTCTGTTTGCTCCCTCGACCCCACGTGTGCTGGCAGAATCTCTTCAGCCCTGAAGATGCACGTGGCTCAGAAAGCCCTGGAGATATGGCTGGGGGCCCTCCCCGTGCCGGTGCAGCAGTCCCAGGAGCAAGCAGCACAGCAGCAGGGCTGCCTCCCTGTCCTGCCCAAGCTCATCCTGCCGGGACAGAGCCAGCCCTGGCTGCGGCAGGTTCTGTGCCCCACAATGCAGGCCAAGGTGAACGCTATTGTGGACACCATGGAAGAAAAGGAAGTGCAGAGGCTATGGGGGGATCCAAACCCCACCGAGGAGTCCCTGGCACTGCAATGCTGTGCCCTCCACCGCAGCTTGGTCCCTTAGACCCACAGCTGCCAAAGGAGAGCAGAGCTGGGGAGCCCAGGGCCCCGGGCAATGCCAGTGCACTGGGACAGCACAAAGCAGGACAGCAGGAGCCACAGAGCCCCCGTGAATCTGAGGAGAAACCAGCCGTCCAAGCACCAGGCTTGTCACCATGGGACAAGGAGTGCCTGAGGCCTTTTGGTTTAGGCGCGGCCCCCCCTGCCCGTCCCAGCCTGGATAATGGAGCAGCAGGACCAGAAGCAGGACCAGCTTCCATGCTCCTGAAGAAAGGTGCTGCCTCTCAGATCAACATCCCCACACAAGGCAGGGGCCATGCCCAGAATGAGGACAGGAGCTGGTCCTGTGCCACAGCGCCTATCAGCAACGCAAGGCTGCAGCTGAACAAGAAGGTCCACAGCAAGCTCTGGATCCACACAGCAAAAAAATGCCTGGAGATAAAACTCCAAACTCTCCCCAAGGCAGTGCAGAAGTCCATGGGCATGTCGCAATGCTCACTGCCCAGACGGAGGAAGGCTGGGGCTGGGCAGCTGCAGCCCCGCAAGAGCTCTGCCATTATGGCAAAAACAAAGCAGCTCAGGCAGAAGGAATGGGTCCTGCGCAGCAGGTTCAGGCATCCCTCACCTGCACTCTGGTCCCCATGACACCGTGCTCCTGCCTGTATTGTGTCTCCTCCTACGGCCCCGTTCCAGGGACGGAGAGCAGCCAGGCATTCCTGGAGGCCCGGACCCTGCCCAGCACATCCTGCAGCTCTGGGAAGGAGATGGCCACAGACACCAAGGATGTGCCAGGGCCACCCTGTGGGATGGTGAAGGACTCGCCAGGGCCAGCATCCACCCTTGGATCCCCAAGCCTTGCCCCAGCATTCCCTGCTATGGACACCAAGCCAGAGAAGGCACAGGGAGCACACATGTATTCAACCCATGAAGGCTTCATGGCACAAGCACGAGGAGCCCTACAGAGCCATTGTGGCTGCTGCAGGAAACAAGCTTGACCTGCTGATGGCAGCTTCCCAGGTGGGACAGCCCCTCTGGAGAGCACCACGAGCAGCACCAGCAGGGAAGGGAACACCGCATCCAAGTGTTGGGGGAGTGAACCAAGCCAGGACAGGCAGAAGTGGTGGTCATCGAGGAGGCAGAGCCTTGGCAGCGCCAAGAGCTCCCTAAGCTGTGGGACATGGTCCCAGGGCACCTCCTGGAGCACAGAGAGGCAAAGGAGATGGAGTCCTGATGGCTTCTCACAGCGAAGCCCACCTGAGATGGCTCCAAGCTCAAACTCCTGCTGCCCAGAGGGGATCCCCAGCCAGCACAGCCCATCCTCGCAGCAGCACCTTGAAAAGAAAGCAAGAACAAGTCCCTGTGACATTTAAGGCATACAGCCTGTCTGGGTTCGGCAGTAGCATTTTTTTCTCCTTAGTAGCTGGTGCAGCGCTGTGTTTTTGACAGGGCACCTGACCCAAACTAGCCAAAGAGGTATTCCATACCACAGCACGTCATGCCCAGGATGTAACTGAAAGGGCTAGTTCACTGCGGGGTTGGACCAGGTATCAGTCGGTGCTTGGTCAGGCGGGGTGTGGCTAGTTATTGGTTGGCGGGTGGTGAGGTGTTGTATTCTCTTCCTTTGTTATTTCCTTTATCATTATTATTATTGGTGGTAGCAGTAGTGATTTGTGTTGTACTCTAGTTACTAAACTGTTCTTATCTCAACCCTGGGAGTTACGTTCTTTCAATTCTCCTTCCCACCCCTCCAGGAGCCGGGGCGAACAAGAACAGGGGAGTGTTTGATTTATGGCTGACTGGGTTTAAACCACGACAAGCCAAAAGAGACAGAGCATCTTTAAAGCCAAAATCTTGTCTTTCCCTTTTAATTTTGTGGTCCAAACTGTTCTGCTGTAAGAAATACCCTTCAACTTTGTCTCTTGTCCCTTCTCCCTGTCAAATAACTATCACCAGAAGCACCAGAGGAAGATGTCAGGAAAGCTAGAGCAGGCATATGTAAAGATAGAGCATGGTATCCATAACGAGACTAAATAAGAGGCCTTGTCTAGCAGTAGGAGAAGGCAAAAGTTACAGGATGACCCACTGCAAGCCTCTCAGCAGGCCTGTACTCCAACATCAGCGAAGTCATTAAACCAATTGCCATCACAAATTACACTTTTTCCCTTCCCAAAACAAGGAATTCCTCTGGGGGGCAGGCTTCTGGGCATCCTAAAGAAGCCTCTAATGATCTTGAAACCTTCTTAGAAAGCTCAAAGTAAACCTACCTCATTCTTCCTAACAAGCCCCTGGGGACAACTTCATAGACATTAAGGAGAAGGAAACTTTCCTCTTTGTTAAAGGCAAGAGCGCTTCTAAAGCAGTTCGGTTTGGCACAACTCCTCCACACCCTGAAGCTGGTGGGTGGAGAGTTTATGGATTGGCAGACTCCTTTCCAGTCCTCCTCCTGGTCGGTACAGTAGTGACCCCTGGAGTTTGAAGGAAAGAGCAGCCACCCCTGGCAAACAACAACTGATTGGCAGAAGTCACTTGGCATCTTAACAGCAAGTTCTTTGGACATCACAAGGGGTCCATACACAGCCACAGCTGTGGCAGGTGATGCGCTAGATTCAGGGTTTATCAGTCAGAAGCAAAAGGTGATGTGGCTGAAGACAAAATACAATGTACATACATTTCCCTGTCTAGAAATAAAACTACCTACAGCTCAGGTCCAAGGTGCATCCAGGAGGCAGATGCAGCCAGACACACCCTACAATGAGGGGTCCTAGTCTATGGCAGAGGAGGAGTATGATGTGCTGAGGGAAGAAAACACTGGGCGAGGCTGATCAGGACCTATTGTTGCCATCAGGGTCCGGACCTACATGAACTACTGATTTTGGGGATGCTAACTGTGCTGGTGTTTCTCAGGTCGTTTCTGCTGCCTTGGGGCTGAAGTCTCTGAGGTGATCTCCTCCATAGACAGTGCTATCTGTAAAAGCATACAAGGTTCATAGAATCATAGGCCATAGAATCAATCAGGTTGGAAAAGTCCCTTGAGATCATCAAGTTCAACTGCTCCCCCAGCACCTTCAAGACCACCACTAACCCATGGCACTGAGGCCTCGAGTCGGCGGTGTGTGACTGTGACTGCAGGGCTACCCTGGGCAGCCTGTTCCAATGGCTGAGCACCCTCTGGGGAAGGAATTGTTCCTCTTCTCCATCTAAACCTGCCCTGGTGCAGCTTGAGGCCGTTGACTCTTGTCCCATCCCTTGTTCCTTGGGAGCAGAGCCCAGCCCCTTCCTGGCTCCATCCTCTTGTCAGGCAGTTATCCGGAGAGATAAAGTCCTCCCTGTGCCTTCCCTTTCCTGAGGGCTGGAGCAGCTCTACTCTGGAGCCAGGCTGAAAGAACTCGGCTGGGTCAGCCTGGACAAGACAAGGCTCCTTAAGGGGAGACCTTAGAGCAGCTCCAGTGCCTAAAGGGGCTGCAGGAAACCTGAGAGGGGCTTGGGACAAGGGCCTGTAGGGACAGGCCAAGGGGAATGGCTTGAACCTGCCCGAGGGGAGACTGAGATGAGCTCTTAGGAACAAGCTCATCCCTGTGAGGGTGCTGAGGCGCTGGCACAGGGTACCCAGAGAGCTGTGGCTGCCCCATCCCTGGCAGTGTTCAAGGCCAGGTTGGACACAGGGGCTTGGAGCAAGCTGCTCTAGTGGTAGGTGTCCCTGCCCGTGGCAGGGGCCTTGAACTGGATGAGCTTGAAGGTCGCTTCCAACTCAAACTAGTCCGGGATTCTACAAACGGACCACAGGAAATTGAACACTAACACCCCACCACTGACAGCTGCCATCCTGAGCACAGCCTCCATTGTGACAGCATTACAGGCTCTGACATCACTCAGCTGTTCTCAGCAGCAGGATCTAACTTCACAGCAACACGTGCCACTGTTCCACAGCTCCCAATGTGGTTGTCACGGGCAGTGCACATGGGCAACAGCAGCTTTCTTCTGGGCCTCAGAATCCTGATCCTGGCTGCTGGGGCCATGCTGCTTGCCATCAGCCGTCGCCAATGGGATCACTTGTGGCCATGGGGCCCACTTGGTTCCAGCACTGGTGGTGCCTGTCCCCAGAAAGGTGACTGTGCCACAATGATGTTCCCACAGGGTGATGGCCAGGGCAAGCAACAGCGCAGATGGAGGCGGCGATTTCGGGCAGCAGAGCCATGTAAGTCCCCGGCAGGGTCCCCAGGGGAGCCCAGCCCCATGTGGAGCAGGCTGGGTGTACGGTCCCAGGTCGGTTGCGGCCCCCCGACACTCAAGAACCCCTCCCTGCCTTGCAGGTAACGCTGTGTCCCCCCTGTGCGGGCCCTGGCGCTGCAGGCCCGGCTGCACCCACTGCATCAAGGCTGCGCAGGAGCTGCAGGAGCTGGTGCTGTCAGCGTGGGCTGGGAGAGGAGCTGCAGCCGCTCTGGATGCTGGCACGTGGCAGGCGCTATGGCAGGACCTGGAGGAGCTGGTGGAGCAGGGAGAGCTGAGCTGCTGCGGCTCCCCCAGTTGCCCCGAGAGCATCAGTCCCTCCAAGAACCTGACAGCAACGCTCCTGACTCGAGATGGAGGAGTTCCTATGGAGGTGAGGTCTGTTTACTCCCTCGACCACACGTGTGCTGGCAGAGTCTCTTCAGCCCTGAAGATGCACGTGGCTCAGAAAGTCCTGGAGATACGGCTGGGGGCCCTGCCCGTGCCGGTGCCGGTGCAGCAGTCCCAGGAGCAAGCAGCACGGCAGCAGGGCTGCTTCCATGTCCTGGCATTGTTCAAGGCCAGGCTGGACAGAGGCTTGGGTGGCATGGTCTAGTGTGAGGTGTCGCTGCCATGGCAGGGGGCTGGAACTGGATGATGTTAAGGTTCTTTCCAACCCAAAACATTCGATGATTCTACATATGTCCAGAGGCAGGCACGTAAGGTCCTACAGTTTTATTGCTTCTGAACTTGAGACATTCCTCCCAGTAGTCCCCAATAACATCTAAATGGAATGAGGATAGCTTTGTATGACATGAAATTTGTGTTGGCACAATAGCAGACCTCAAAGGCTCTGGAGGTCAGAGAAGTCCTCAAAATGCATGAAAACTCATCCTAACTACTTTTAGGCATCTAAAAGTTAGCCGGGTTCTTTTAGCTATCTTTTTAGCTATCATTGGCAAGAAATGGACACCTCCAAAGGATGGTTCATCCCATTGTAAAATAAGTTTAAGGAAAATGGCATGTTTTGCTTTCTGCAGGTCTCTCCCTCCTTACACTGACTACAGAAGAAGCCCCAACGGTTAGATTAGTCTTACCTGGTTGAATTTTATGCTACTGAAATTACAACAAACAGATTCTATCTTCCTATTGCCATAGCCTGTTCCCCAGCACTTACACAGAACACAGGCAGAAGCTCTGGGCTAAAGAGTTCAGAGAGGACATCCCTGAGGCAAGACACTAGATCTTGAGCAAAACAATCACATGGGAGGAAAGCAAAACACCACGGCAGAACTGATCTTTAACTTTCCTATTTCAAACTGTCGTTGATGAGATGGGAAAGCTCCACAGAGGCTTGCAGTAGCCAGTGATGGATATGTTTAGACCTTCCAAATCTCTGGCGAGAGGCTAAACCATGACACATGAAAGGGATGAAATGGATGCTCTGCTTTGGCGGAAAATGATGTGGGAAAGCCAGTCCAGAATAGGGGAAATTATCATGTTTGGTTTGTTATTCACACCTCTGCTCTATCATTTGATATTGGTAATATGGGGTTCATCAGTCAACGTAAAACAATTAAAAGTTACTCCTCTAAGCTTAAACTTCTACTGCTCTAGTAATCAATGTAGAGAAATAATCACTCAAATTCCAGGAAGTATCCAGAGTGCAAACATCTATATATAGGCGGTGGACACTGCTTACCTGAGCTTAGGAGAGGACTTTGTGTCTCTCTTCTGCTCTGGCTGTGCTTTCAGGGACAAGTCATCTCTTAATCAGCCGTCTAGTATTAGTCTCAGAGGACCACAGACTGTGAATCAGTAAAAATACAACTTAATGGTCCAATAGGGAAGACTGGCAGTGATGTGAACTACCTCTAGATTGAATAAGGAGACTGTGGACTGGAATTCGGATTGCATGTCTATTGTTTTATGAGGACCAGCAAAACCTAAAACAATGATTCCCCTCCCTTTATGTCTGCTCCTTGTAGCTCTCATATAAAGGCTGATTGTTTCACAAGGTCAGCAATCCTCAGCATGTAATCCTCGCCATGTTAAACAGACAGAGAGGGGACATGAGATGAGCTCTTATGCAGAAGCTCTTCCTTGTGAGGGTGCTGAGGCGCTGGCACAGGGTTCCCAGAGAAGCTGTGGCTGCCCCATCCCTGGCAGTGTTCAAGGCCAGGTTGGAACTGGATGAGCTTGAAGGTCGCTTCCAACTCAAACCAGTCCGGGATTCTACAAACTGCTTACAGGAAATTGAACACTAATACCCCACCACTGACAACTGCCATCCTGAGCACAACCCCCATTGTGACAGCATTACCGGCTGCTACGCACACCTGGATGGCTATGCTGTATGTTAGGGATATGTTTTTTTATGGTTCTTCTAAGAGAAGAAGGCAAAACTGAGGTGTCTCAAGGGAGTCACACACAAGGAGACACTGAGCACAAGGACGGCCGTGCTCTTTGACCCATGATTTCTTTTCGGTTTCAAGACCCATATCTGCACAAGGATATTTAGGGCTCATGAAGCAGAAGCAGCAGGATGCCCACGGTGCTGGCTTAATGTGGCCTGTAACATCACTTGGCTGTTCTCTGCAGCAGGGTCTAACTTCACAGCAACACGTGCCACTGTTCCACAGCTCCCAATGTGGTTGTCACGGGCAGGGCACATGGGCAACAGCAGCTTTCTCCTGGGCCTCAGCATCCTGATCCTGGCTGCTGGGGCCATCCTGCTTGCCATCAGCCGTCACCAATGGGATCACTTGTGGCCATGGGGCCCACTTGGTTCCAGCACTGGTGGTGCCTGTCCCCAGAAGGGTGACTGTGCCACAATGATGTTCCCACAGGGTGATGGCCAGGGCAAGCAACAGCACAGATGGAGGCGGCGATTTCGGGCAGCAGAGCCATGTAAGTCCCCCGCAGGTTCCCCAGGGGAGCCCAGCCCCATGGGGAGCAGGCTGGGTGTACGGTCCCAGGTTGGTTCCGTCCCCCCGACACTCAAGAACCCCTCCCTGCCTTGCAGGTAACGCTGTGTCCCCCCTGTGCGGGCCCTGGCGCTGCAGGCCCGGCTGCACCCACTGCATCAAGGCTGCGCAGGAGCTGCAGGAGCTGGTGCTGTCAGCGAGGGCTGGGAGAGGAGCTGCAGTCGCTCTGGATGCTGGCACGTGGCAGGCGCTATGGCAGGACCTGGAGGAGCTGGTGGAGCAGGGAGAGCTGAGCTGCTGCGGCTCCCCCAGTTACCCCGAGAGCATCAGTCCCTCCAAGAACCTGACAGCAACGCTCCTGACTCGAGATGGAGGAGTTCCTATGGAGGTGAGGTCTGTTTGCTCCCTCGACCACACGTGTGCTGGCAGAGTCTCTTCAGCCCTGAAGATGCACGTGGCTCAGAAAGTCCTGGAGATACGGCTGGGGGCCCTGCCCGTGCCGGTGCCGGTGCAGCAGTCCCAGGAGCAAGCAGCACGGCAGCAGGGCTGCTTCCATGTCCTGGCATTGTTCAAGGCCAGGCTGGACAGAGGCTTGGGTGGCATGGTCTAGTGTGAGGTGTCGCTGCCATGGCAGGGGGCTGGAACTGGATGATGTTAAGGTTCTTTCCAACCCAAAACATTCGATGATTCTACATATGTCCAGAGGCAGGCACGTAAGGTCCTACAGTTTTATTGCTTCTGAACTTGAGACATTCCTCCCAGTAGTCCCCAATAACATCTAAATGGAATGAGGATAGCTTTGTATGACATGAAATTTGTGTTGGCACAATAGCAGACCTCAAAGGCTCTGGAGGTCAGAGAAGTCCTCAAAATGCATGAAAACTCATCCTAACTACTTTTAGGCATCTAAAAGTTAGCTGGGTTCTTTTAGCTATCTTTTTAGCTATCATTGGCAAGAAATGGACAACTCCAAAGGATGGTTCATCCCATTGTAAAATAAGTTTAAGGAAAATGGCATGTTTTGCTTTCTGCAGGTCTCTCCCTCCTTACACTGACTACAGAAGAAGCCCCAACGGTTAGATTTGTCTTACCTGGTTGAATTTTATGCTACTGAAATTACAACAAACAGAGCCTATGTTCCTATTGCCATAGCCTGTCCCCCAGCACTTACACAGAACACAGGCAGAAGCTCTGGGCTAAAGAGTTCAGAGAGGACATCCCTGAGGCAAGACACAAGATCTTGAGCAAAACAATCACATGGGAGGAAAGCAAAACACCACGGCAGAACTGATCTTTAACTTTCCTATTTCAAACTGTCGTTGATGAGATGGGAAAGCTCCACAGAGGCTTGCAGTAGCCAGTGATGGATATGCTTAGACCTTCCAAATATCTCTGGCGAGAGGCTAAACCATGACACATGAAAGGGATGAAATGGATGCTCTGCTTTGGCGGAAAATGATGTGGGAAAGCCAGTCCAGAATAGGGGAAATTATCATGTTTGGTTTGTTATTCACGCCTCTGCTCTATCATTTGATATTGGTAATATGGGGTTCATCAGTCAACGTAAAACAATTAAAAGTTACTCCTCTAAGCTTAAACTTCTACTGCTCTAGTAATCAATGTAGAGAAATAATCATTCAAATTCCAGGAAGTATCCAGAGTGCAAACATCTATATATAGGCTGTGGACACTGCTTACCTGAGCTTAGGAGAGGACTTTGTGTCTCTCTTCTGCTCTGGCTGTGCTTTCAGGGACAAGTCATCTCTTAATCAGCCGTCTAGTATTAGTCTCAGAGGACCACAGACTGTGAATCAGTAAAAATACAACTTAATGGTCCAATAGGGAAGACTGGCAGTGATGTGAACTACCTCTAGATTGAATAAGGAGACTGTGGACTGGAATTCGGATTGCATGTCTATTGTTTTATGAGGACCAGCAAAACCTAAAACAATGATTCCCCTCCCTTTATGTCTGCTCCTTGTAGCTCTCATATAAAGGCTGATTGTTTCACAAGGTCAGCAATCCTCAGCATGTAATCCTCGCCATGTTAAACAGACAGAGAGGGGAGATGAGATGAGCTCTTATGCAGAAGCTCTTCCTTGTGAGGGTGCTGAGGCGCTGGCACAGGGTGCCCAGAGAAGCTGTGGCTGCCCTATCCCTGGCAGTGTTCAAGGCCAGGTTGGAACTGGATGAGCTTGAAGGTCGCTTCCAGCTCAAACCAGTCCGGGATTCTACAAACTTCTTACAGGAAATTGAACACTAATACCCCGCCACTGACAACTGCCATCCTGAGCACAACCCCCATTGTGACAGCATTACCGGCTGCTATGCACACCTGGATGGCTATGCTGTATGTTAGGGATATGTTTTTTTATGGTTCTTCTAAGAGAAGAAGGCAAAACTGAGGTGTCTCAAGGGAGTCACACACAAGGAGACACTGAGCACAAGGACGGCCGTGCTCTTTGACCCATGATTTCTTTTCGGTTTCAAGACCCATATCTGAACAAGGATATTTAGGGCTCATGAAGCAGAAGCAGCAGGATGCCCACGGTGCTGGCTTAATGTGGCCTGTAACATCACTTGGCTGTTCTCTGCAGCAGGGTCTAACTTCACAGCAACACGTGCCACTGTTCCACAGCTCCCAATGTGGTTGTCACGGGCAGTGCACATGGGCAACAGCAGCTTTCTTCTGGGCCTCAGAATCCTGATCCTGGCTGCTGGGGCCATGCTGCTTGCCATCAGCCGTCGCCAATGGGATCACTTGTGGCCATGGGGCCCACTTGGTTCCAGCACTGGTGGTGCCTGTCCCCAGAAAGGTGACTGTGCCACAATGATGTTCCCACAGGGTGATGGCCAGGGCAAGCAACAGCGCAGATGGAGGCGGCGATTTCGGGCAGCAGAGCCATGTAAGTCCCCGGCAGGGTCCCCAGGGGAGCCCAGCCCCATGTGGAGCAGGCTGGGTGTACGGTCCCAGGTCGGTTGCGGCCCCCCGACACTCAAGAACCCCTCCCTGCCTTGCAGGTAACGCTGTGTCCCCCCTGTGCGGGCCCTGGCGCTGCAGGCCCGGCTGCACCCACTGCATCAAGGCTGCGCAGGAGCTGCAGGAGCTGGTGCTGTCAGCGTGGGCTGGGAGAGGAGCTGCAGCCGCTCTGGATGCTGGCACGTGGCAGGCGCTATGGCAGGACCTGGAGGAGCTGGTGGAGCAGGGAGAGCTGAGCTCCTGCGGCTCCCCCAGTTACCCCGAGAGCATCAGTTCCAGCGAGAGCCTCAGTCCCCCCGAGAGCCTGACAGCAACGCTCCTGACTGAAGATGAAGGAGCCCCTATGGAGGTGAGGTCTGTTTGCTCCCTCAACCACACGTGTGCTGGCAGAGTCTCTTCAGCCCTGAAGATGCACGTGGCTCAGAAAGCCCTGGAGATACGGCTGGGGGCCCTGCCCGTGCCGGTGCAGCAGTCCCAGGAGCAAGCAGCACAGCAGCAGGGCTGCCTCCCTGTCCTGCCCAAGCTCATCCTGCCGGGACAGAGCCAGCCCTGGCTGCGGCACGTTCTGTGCCCCACAATGCAGGCCAAAGCAAACGCTATTGTGGATACCATTGAAGAGAAGGAAGTGCAGAGGCTATGGGGGGATCCAAACCACACCGAGGAGTCCCTGGCACCGCAGATGCTGTGCCCTCCACTGCTGCTTGGTCCCCTGGACCCAAAGCTGCCAAAGGAGAGCAGAGCTGGGGAGCCCAGGGCCCCAGGCAATGCCAGTGCACTGGGACAGCACAAAGCAGGACAGCAGGAGCCACAGAGGCCCCGTGGATCTGAGGAGAAAACAGCCATCAAGGCACCAGAGGAGGATACACTGAGGAAGAGCCTCCTTCACCAGGGTAGGGGCTTGTCACCGTGGGACAAGGAGTGCCTGAGGTCGTTGGGTTTCGGCGCGGCCCCCCCTGCCTGTGTCAGCCTCGATAATGGAGCAGCAGGACCAGAAGCAGGGCCAGCTTCCATGCTCCTGAAGAAAGATGCTGCCTGTCAGATCAACATCCCCACACAAGACAGGGGCCATGCCCACAATGAGGACAGGAGCTGGTCCTGTGCCACAGCGCCTGTCAGCAACGCAAGGCTGCAGCTGAACAAGAAGGTCCACAGCAAGCTCTGGACCCACACAGCAAGAAAATGCCTGGAGATAAAACTCCAAATTCTCCCCAAGGCAGTGCAGAAGTCCATGGGCATGTCGCAATGCTCACTGCCCAGACGGAGGAAGGCTGGGGCTGGGCAGCTGCAGCCCCGCAAGAGCTCTGCCATTATGGCAAAAGCAAAGCAGCTCAGGCAGAAGGAATGGGTCCTGCAGCAGCAGGTTCAGGCATCCCTCACCTGCACTCTGGTCCCCATGACACCGTGCTCCTGCCTGTATTGTGTCTCCTCCTACGGCCCCGTTCCAGGGACGGAGAGCAGCCAGGCATTCCTGGAGGCCAGGACCCTGCCCAGCACATCCTGCAGCTCTGGGAAGGAGATGGCCACAGACACCAAGGATGCGCCAGGGCCACCCTGTGGGATGGTGAAGGACGCGCCAGGGCCAGCATCCACCCTTGTGTCCCCAAGCCTTGTCCCAGCCTTTTCTCCTATGGACACCAAGCCGGAGAAAGCACAGGGAGCACACATGTGCTCAGCCCATGAAGGATTCACGGCACGAGCACAAGGAGCCCTACAGAGCCATTGTGGCTGCTGCAGGAAACAAGCTAGACCTGCTGACGGCAGCTTCTCAAGTGGGACAGCCCCTCTGGAGAGCACCACGAGCAGCACCAGCAGGGAAGGGAACGCAGCATCCAATTGTTGGGGGAGTGAACCAAGCCTGGACAGGCAGAAATGGTGGTCCTCGAGAAGGCAGGGCACTGGCAGCTCCGAGAGCTCCCTAAGCTGTGGGACATGGTCCCAGGGCACCTCCAAGAGCACAGAGAGGCAAAGGAGATGGAGTCCTGATGGCCTCTCACAGGGAAGCCCACCCGAGATGGCTCCAACCTCCAACTCCTGCTGCCCAGAGGTGCTCCCCAGCCAGCACAGCCCATCCTCGCAGCAGCACTGCAGTTCCCATGTCACCGGGAACGTGAGCTCATGCCAACCGTGCCCAGCCCGGGACTCACAGGACACTGCAGCAGCATCGACCAACAATATCCTGCGTGCCGTGCTGGAGAGGATTCGGCAGCGGCGAAGGAGTGTGTCCTCATCCCCGGAGAGCTCTCCCACTGAATGGAGCTGACGTGGTGCGGAGAGGCAGGGCCAGGCTTCCCAGAGCTTCTGTTCTCCGTGAGCCCTCTGTTCTTGTAAATAAAGACGTTGATGGTTCTCCAAAGAGCCATGCAAGTGGACTAACCCCTGCTGGAGGGGCAGGGTGTGCTGGGGATGGGAAAGGGAAGGCAGGCTCAGGGGCACAGGGGAAGCTGTGCTGTCCCAGCAGGAGGACCTGGCCAAGAGGAGAAGCCTGGGTAAGGGGGTTGCTGCTCCTAGAGCTCCTGCTCAGCCCTGCCCCGGCCAGCCCCTTCTGCCACCCTGCAGGGCAGGTCCTTTGGCTCAACTTCACTTGTTCTCCAAGCCTTCCCTGAGAGCAGCTCCCTCCAGCCCCACCCCAGGCACCTTTGGGGACCACAGGGCCCTCGGAGTGCCTGCAGCTGCCTCTCAGGGGCAGCTCCACAGTGGTTTGCCCAGACACAAGCTCATTGACCAGACAAGATGATGCCAGTGTCCAGATGCAGGGCTGAGGTCCTCGATGCCTACAGCAGGTCTCTTGGGCCAGTTGCTGCAGTAACATTTCTATGCTGTGCCCCGCATCCCGAAGCTGTCCTGCTCCAACGCGCACATCATGGAGCACTTCACCTGTGCGGCTGTGCTCATCACCTCAACCAAGCTCCTCATTTTCATCTACACCTGCATCACAGTTGCCATCCACAAGATCTAAGTCCAAAGGCAGGCAAAAGCCTTCTCCACTTCTGCTTCCCACCTGATTCCTGCTGCCATGTTTTATGGAACAGGCTTCTTCACGTACACACAGTTCACAGTTCTCTATGGAGCACAGTAGTTATTGCTTCATTTATGCTCTGGTGATTCCCATGCTCAATCCTGAAGAACAGGGAGGTCAAACCACCCATTCCAAGAGCAGTAGCAAGCCTGTGTTTCTCTGAGTACCACAGAGATTCAGGAGTCCAAACAGGCCTCAAAGAACCTGAGGGGCTTTTGACAAGGCCCTGTAGTGACAGGACAGGGGATTTGCTTTAAAGTAACCCTTGAAGAGCAGTTACCTGACCCCAAAAGTAGAACTGTGTTCTAGCAGGAACTATGGACCAGGAAGGATACTTTGGGTGACCTTGTGTGCTACTGAAACTGGTGCTTAGAAAACCAAATCCCAACTGCACCATAAGTCATGGCATTGAACTCTGTGGGAAGCTCCATAGTGTTACAGCTACATGGGTAGCCCTGACTTCTTAGTGCTTGTCTTTGAAGCTGGTCTCAGATGGTGTTACATGCGTTTTCTTAAGCTGCTGAGATATGCTTTAAAACCAAAAGAAAACCCCAGAAAATCCTGAATGTATTACCCAAGAGAAAAGCTCTTTGGTCATTACTGTTGACCTTTGAACCCGTTGTCAACATGACCAGCAGCTGAGAATGGATAAAGCTTGAGTGATTTCCATTGTTTTAATATTAAGAATGTGCATTTGCTATGACTAAGATTCAAGTTCCTGCAGAGAAACCATTAGCTTATCTTTTATACCAAGGCAGCAACCACAAAAAAGGCCACCGAGACAGACATCCTTGACACGTGGTTTGAGTAAGTAGTGTGCAAGCAACAAAGTCACAGCAGGGATTTAGCACATGGCACAACAGCTGGAACGACACACCACAGCACTTTAACACCGTCCAAGGCCCATCTCAAGCTGTAAGAGTTTATCATCCCAGCATAGACCCTCGTAGCTAAGAGATACACGGACTTGTAGCCACAACACACAGAGACTGCACAGCACCCCACCTCTCTGCACATCTGTTTCCACCTTAGTCAGCCATGTCTTCTTTGTCTTCCACCTTAGTCAGCCATGCCTTCACTTTTTGCTTGGTGTGAAGCACTGGTTTTACTTATGGACTCAGACCTAAAGCACACTTTGTAAACCTTCCTTCAGTCTGCTGGGACTGGGAAAAGCCAGAGCAATGGTCACAAAGCCCATGAATACAAAGCCTCCCTTTTCCCCTCACTGGCCATAAGAGGAGTCTTAAAGCTGTCTAATATATGGACACATGAGCACAATTGACATCTCTAGTTCAGGCGTTAGAACAGGCTGCCCAGGGCAGTGGTGGAATCACCATCTCTGGAAGCGTTCACAAACCATGCAGATGAGGCCCTTAGTGACATGGGTTAGCGGTGGACTTGGCAGTGTTGGGGAACAGTTGGACTTGATTACCTTAATGGTCTTTCCCAACCTAGCTGATTCTATGACTGTGGGAGTTGATTCACACCCTGGCAGACTGATTTTGAGATACACGGTGCAAACTATGGCCAGATTGTGCTTGGTGTTGCAGTTGGATTCTCGGCATGCTGGTTGAGAACACTCCCAGACTGATGACATGAAATGATGGGTAAAGAGCCATCCTTCCATTCAGCCTCCCACAAAGGATGTGCTCATGTTTTCTGCAGGAGCAGTGTGGTCAGGAATAGGTACCAGTCCTCTAGGCTGCTTTAGTACAGAAGGATGTAGATGTAAGTGTGCCTACAGGACCAGTTCCCAGCATTCACACTAAGATATGCTTACATCACCTGTGTCTAAGGCTGAGGATCTCATCTAAGCTTCCTCTGTGTTCAGCGGAGAATAACATTACCAGCAGAAGTCATCTCCTCCTGTGACAGTGACCAAAAACTGTGCCATCCAACTGGTCTCCTGGAGGTGCACACCTCTTCAAAGGGAACCTAGAGAAGGATGTTTGATTCCAGCACCTAACTTTTAGTTGGCTAAAGTTAGAGCAGTCACAAACTGCAGTTCCTATCCAGCTGGTGGAGCTCCACAGGGTGTCAGAGACCAAGAGTGATGTTCTTGTCTTGTTAAAGTAGTTCTTACCTGGGTGACCACTCTTCTCAGGGCACATTTAATTTCTTTGTTCCTCAGACTGTAGATTATGGGGTTTAGCAGGGGAGTGAGGATTCCATAGAGCATGGAAACTATCCTGTCCTGATTAGGCAAGTAGGTGAAGGAAGGCCGTGCATACGTGAAAATGGTGGTCCCATAGAAGAGGCATACTGCTGTCAAGTGAGACCCACAGGTGGAGAAGGCTTTCTGCCTGCTCTCAGAAGAGTTCATGCATAGAATAGCCCACAGGATGTAGATATATGAGACCAGAGTGACCGCAAAGGCGCTGCCCCCAATGGCTCCAGCAACTGTGAGAATTACCAGTTCCCTACTATAAGTAGATGAGCAGGAGAGGGCCAGCATGGGAGGGATATCACAGTAATATTGGTCAACTTCATTAGACTCACAGAAAGAGAGTGTAAAAATCAAAGATGTGTGCAACAGGGAGTTTAACAGCCCTGCTACCCAGATGCCAGTGGCTAGGTGAGCACACAGCTTTGTACTCATGATATTCATGTACTGCAGTGGATGGCATATTGCAACGTACCGGTCATATGCCATCACAGCCAAGAGGAAAATCTCTGTGCCTACGACATCAATCAGGAAAAACAGCTGGAACATGCAGCCATGGAATGAAATCACCTTGTTCTCAAGCAACAAGGCCTCCAGCATCTTCGGCACAGTGATAGTGGAACATAAGATATCCAGTAAGGATAAGTTGCCAAGGAAGAAGTACATGGGGTTGTGCAGATGTGTGTTTGTGCTAATGGCAACAAGAACTGAGATGTTGCCTGCCACGGTGGCCAAATGAGTGATCAAAAACAGCACAAAGAGAAGATAACGGACTTCTGGAGCATCAGAAAGGCCTACAAGAACAAACTCAGTTCCCGTTGATAGGTTGCCCCTCTGCATCTTATCTTTCATTGTGGAAATGATTGCAGAGGTTTACCTGGAAAAGAGAAGGAGTTGTAACTTAGTTAAAATTGCATCTCCCTTCTAAAGTGTGAATGTTTTATGGCTTGTTTTGCAATTCAAAATCATTTGCAAGTTTGTATTGCCACACAAAATCTAAACTTCACTCACACAACCTAAAGGCAAAAATATAGGTATTAAGCTTAACAGTGATTAATCAAAAAGGTTTAATTCTTGCAAGCTAAAGTGCTGGCGGTTGAAGACAAAGATACCTCCTCTGTGGTGGCTTTGAAGACAGCAGTACTCTGAGCAAGGGGAATGGAGACAGATCCAATGGACCTGCAGCTGCCAGAGGGGAGACTGAGATGAGCTCTTCCCTGTGAGGGTGCTGAGGCGCTGGCACAGGGTGCCCAGAGAAGCTGTGGCTGCCCCATCCCTGGCAGTGTTCAAGGCCAGGTTGGACACAGGGGCTTGGAGCAAGCTGCTCCAGTGGAAGGGGTCCCTGCCCATGGCAGGGGTTGAAACTGGATGATCTTAAGGTCCCTTCCAACACAAACCATCCTGTGATTCTATCTCTAGAAATCCTTTCAGCATAAATAATTTAGTGATAATGTCATTAAAAGGTCTAGATTACTAGCTGAACCTAATTTTAAGCAAATAATATTATAAGAGAAGAATTAAATTGCTGGTGATTGACAGACAGTATATCCCAGATTTTTTTTCAGCTTTATCCAGTGGGATATAAAGAGATATAATCTAGCATTCACTTAAAGACCTCCCTTCTTTATTTTACCATATAGGATTCCATAATATTATTAGTACTTCTAGGAATAGCTGGACTTCCCATCCCCTTTTCCCAGTTCAAAGTAGTCTAGGATTGTCACTGAAGATCTGTCTAACCTGCACTGCTACACTGAATGTAACTCAGTACTTACAGTAATGCTTTACCTAGTAGCCCTGTAGAGAGATAGGGCAAAGTTTGGCACAAGCAGCTCTTTGTTTGCAGATTAGAGCATGATTATGAGATGGTGTGAATATCAGAACACATTCTTACGTATGAGAAATACAAATAACAAGTGAAATAGGTGACTGACATCCCATCTGAGACAGGCTCATCTATCCTCTCATGTTCTCACAGCAGCTTGCTTCCACCTCAAAAGGGACCAAAATCAGAGTTTAAAATACTGTAAGATTCATTTAAGCAGAAATAAAAGGCACACAGTGCTTTAAATCATAATATCGCTCATTCTTAAAATTGGAAACTTCTCCAGGTGAAATACAACAGAAACCTAACACAGAAATACTCACTGCTACAAAGGATTAGTTACTGGCGCTACACAGGCATCCGTAACTCCAGGAAACATGACTATCCTTTTTCTTCTTTCAACACGTGCCTAGAATATCTGCACACAGCAGAAAAATGATTTCACTGTAGTCTCTGGAGCAACAATCCATTAAGGAAGCGATGGGTCCGGGTTTAGCAGCACAGGAACACGCAGGCAGACATCTGCAGGCACTGGCTAACCCTTGCCTACAAGGGTGAGTACCTCTTTAATGAGCTTTTATACACGTGAAGACGTACCTGGGGAGGAGTGTCTCTGAAGCTTTTTTGGATGCTACCTGTGTTGCGTTTATGAGGCCTTTTCAGAATCAGGAGAAGGCTAAAATGTGAGAAGCTATTTCTTCACTCTATACCATTTGATTCCCATGGCTTTCATGTTGCAGGACCTTTTTAAAGGGCTGTGGTTTGATACATGACTCTTCTCCCAGGAAAAGGAGATGGTGTCCTTCTCCCTAGGGGCTGCCAGCACAACTCGACCATTCCAGTTCCTGAAGTCTTACATCTTAGACCTCATAGCAGCCTTCCAGTATCTGAAGGGGGGCTATAGGGATGCTGGAGAGGGACTCTTCATTAGGGGCTATAGTGATAGGACAAGGGGTAACGGGTTCAAACTTAAACAGGGGAACTTCAGATTGGATATAAGGAAGGAGTTCTTTCCTGTTAGGGTGGTGAGGCACTGGAATGGGTTGCTCAAGGAAGTTGTGAATGCTCCATCATCCCTGGCAGTGTTCAAGGCCAGGTTGGCCAGAGCCTTGGGTGACATGGTTTAGTGGGAGGTGTCCCTGCCCATTGCAGGGGGGTTGGAACTGGATGATCTTAAGGTCCTTTCCAACTCTAACTATTCTATGATCTCACAAGAGTCTAGCATTCTGATTGCTTTAAACAGCCTTAAAGCTACTTGGTCACAAACTGTTTTCAGACTGATTTGTCTTGCTCTGGAGCCTTAAATCTATTGCTTACACATACTGGATCACAATAAGCTGGGGAACAGCTCCTTTGCAAAGGCACGTACCTTAGAGAAGGACAGTGGTATCGGTGTCTGTACAGGGTGAATGAAGAGCAGAACCCGAGTGACTGCTGTGGAGCAGTTGTGCTGGTGTTACAAGGGCAGCTAGCACACCATCACGTGCCTGTGTAAGTGCTTTCCATGTTGGTTTTATGGGCAATCTCTACTTCTTCAGGGGAGAAACCTTTTAATTTTGTTTACCATCTACAGAAACAACAGAAGATAAGCTACTTGTGAAATCCATGCACTACTTGAAGCAGATACGTACCCTAGCATAAGGAGGAGCATAAGTTATCAGCAGTACTTTGAAGAGCTAATAAATCCCCCTCTGATTCCAGAAAGCATCCATGCATTACGCATTCATTTATTTGAGCATCACTTTCCATCTGATGTACTGCTCATATCCCAGTATTACCTGCCTATAGCTCCTGCACTGTCAACATGAATGATACAGTCAATCATTCTTAAAGCCTGTTTGTCATGCTTGCAGTGTGCCTCTTTTACAAAATAAAGACTTCTGCATATGTCAGAAGATAAATTGGAGTTCTCAAAGAGTTATAAAGCAGAGGCTTTTCCTGCTATGGTTGTATAGACCTGTGGCTGGAATAAATCCATGTGGTCCAGATCTTTATGTACTGTTAGCCCTAGGCCCATCAGACTTCTGAAGTTTTGGAACAAAGAATGGAGCTAATCATTCTGTAATAAACCCAGATGCCGGAAAGAGATACAGTAAATAGATCAATCTCATCACAGCTGGGAGAAGAGCTAAGACTGACTGTGCCCTTCCAACTTCTGAAACTGGTTTCATGCCTCTTCCACTGACAGCTACCCGTCTTTTCGTTGAACAGGCACAAGAGGGCAATAGCTCATGCAAAATCTCTACGTGGTGAAAGGCTACAGAGCACAGCGCCGTACCGAGAGTCAGGAGATAAATGTGCGTATACAGGCCACAAAAAGGGAGCTGCTATTATTTGCTTTCAGTATTTTTAATCTGAGACCTTATGTCTAAAGCCCACTGTTGATAAGCATAGAATGGCTTGGGTTAGAAGGGATCTCAAAGCTCATCTGCTCCCAATCCCCTGCCACAAGGGATTGGATCATTCAATCATTTAAAGAATCATTTAAGGCCATAAGAATTATTTAAGATTTATGACTTGACCCTCTCCTTGACCATGTTTGTACTTTAACATGTTGCCACACGTTAGAAGTTTGCATTTTGGCAAGATAGCTATTGCCTGTGCATCATGCTGGTGCCTAGAAATTAGTAGTGGGCTAAAGCTGAATTATCCCAGTCCCAAGCACAGATGCAGGCTGGGCAGAAACTGGAATGAGGGCAGCCCTGAGGAGAAGGACTTGTGGGTGTTGGTGGATGAGAAGTTCCCCGTGACCAGTGTGTGCTGGGCTGCACACCCAGAGCATGAGCAGCAGCTCAGGGAGGGGATCCTGGCCCTCTGCTGCCAAAGGGGAGACTGAGATGAGCTCTTAGGCAGAAGCTCTTCCCTGGGAGGGTGCTGAGGCGCTGGCACAGGGTTCCCAGAGAAGCTGTGGCTGCCCCATCCCTGGCAGTGCTCAAGGCCAGGCTGGACACAAGGGCTTGGAGCAAGCTGCTCCAGTGGAAGGTGTCCCTGCCCGTGGCAGAGGTTGGAGCTGGATAAGGCAAAACAAACTCTATGAATTCAGAGACATCATCGGAGCTGGTGCTGCCCATCCCTTCTGCCATGCCAGGACCATACACAGCACAACACAACCAAAGCCGTTTGATATTGGCCAGTTATGAGATTGAGCCTTGTTGAGTATTGAGCTTTCCAGCTTGGAATGCTTACCATGACCACAGAATGCTTATCATGAACACAGACCGATTACAGACTTGGCTGCTGATAAAGCTCCTTTTCCTCTGATGTGTTTCTCATTTGTATTTCAGACGTGGGGATTATTTGATGTAATTCTGCTGTCTTCATGCCTAACAAGGTAACAATCTCACACAGCAGATGGGCTCCATACTCACTGTCACCTTCCCTGACAACGTCTTCTAAATGTTAAATTTGGGATTTTAGTCAAAACTTTGTCCCCTATTTGCCCTATAGGTTCTGGCAAGAAGCAGCAGCCAGAAGAGGTCTGTAGAGCAGGAACCCTGGGACAGGTGTCGATTAGCCTTAGCTTTACCAAGAACCATCTCTGGTTTTTATTGTGAAGATCAGATAATGTGTCACACCACAAAAGAGATATCTGAAGGATGTTCCTGCCCATGGCAGCAGGTTGGAACTAGATGAGCTTTAAGGTCCCTTCCAACCTAAACCTATGACTCTATGATTGAAGCCAGCCCAATCCAAGCAGTTGTAAAGCTGCCCCTCAACAGTGCAATGCAGGTTGCTCTGCTTTACCCATAGTCTTTAAATAAAATTGATTAGATCAGAATCTCCTCAGTTTTGGGGGATGTAACAAAAGCATTGTAGAGATCCAGCCAGTTTTCAAAGGACTTGATTTGACCATGGCATCATTTGCTACAATAAGAGGCTGGGATATTTTGTGTTGCAGTCAAGGGTCTAAACAATATCAAGGAATGCCTTGTATCTAATGCTTCAAGAAATGGATATATTTAAGGTTCAAGGCCTTGGAACAAGCTGGTCTAGTGTGAGGTGTCCCTGCCCATGGCAGGGGGTTGGAACTGGATGATCTTAAGGCCCTTTCCAACCAAAACCATTCTACAATTCTATGACGTTTTGTCCTTTGAGGCAGTTTTTCCACTGTCCTTTAGATTAAGGCAATAATCAAAGCTGAGCATAAACTCACAGAGCTGCTAATTTCCAGGAGAGAAAGAACTCGAGATTTTAATGAGGCACAGAGAAACCAATTTACACACTTACAAACTCACCTGCCAAGTTGCACCCTTGCAATTTGCCAGGCACTAACTTTTTAAACAGCATCTTCTGAGGCCTTATTAAAACCATCCCAAGCTGTTTCCTGGAGAGAAAAATCCATTAGATTAAATTGCTTGTCTTGAGACACAGGTTTCCCCAAACCACGCGGAGCTTGCATTTGGCTTCAAAATCCAAGTGATGATTTCAGATCAGTAATTGCAATGATCTGCACTGTGTTTCCTTATAGAGCAAAGAAAATAGCTCACATTGAGCCATGAAGGTCCACATCCTCCTTTAGAGCACATGGAGAACTTAAAGTAGGAAATTAGAGTTTTGTGATTACAAATAAAGAAACAGATGAAATCCAGCACTGATTCTGATGGGGACTTGATCATCAGACAGATTTAGGCATTTACTAACAGTTATCAGCCTGGTGTCCCTGTTTTGCACAGTTTCCCTTCTGTCGCCCAGCACAAATGTTTCTTCTTTGGAAGTGATAAATGCTCCATCCCTGGAAGTGTTCAAGGCCAGGGTGGACAGAGACTTGGGCAACATGGTCTAGTGTGAGGCATCCCTGCCCATAGCAGGGGTTTGGAACTGGATGATCTTAAGGTCCTTTCCAACCCAAACTATTCTATGATTCTTAATGGGGCCCAGCATAACGTTGAGAGAAAAATGGTGATTGACAAATCCTGTGTTGAGCAAAAATGTGCATCACTGACTGTGAAATGGATCCCCTCATATGAGGAACGCTTTCACACTACAGTGATCGAGGTGTGAGAGTGTAAATCCCATGGGATTCCAGGCCATGCAACTTCTACAGACAAGCAGCAAGGTCCTTTCTAGTTTTAAGATCCATGGATTTTGCCCCATAGCCTCCTGCCATGGGGCGGGACAGAGACAAGACAGTCTTGAATTTCCTCAGGGGTCTCAGAGATCCAAACTAAAACAAAGACTGAAACACTGTCAAGGAGAAAAGTCACTCAACTTGGGCATGAACTACTCAAAAACCATAGACTCACATGCTGGCTTGGGTTGGAAGGGACCTTAAAGCTCATGTCCTTAATTCGCACAGAGAGGTGGGTCTGCTCCTGGATTCACCACCACTGACTGCAACTCTGATTTCTCTCCAAAGCCCCACTGAGCCACTTCATCCTCACAGCACAACGACCTCTGCTATTCCAGTCTGCCCTTAACCCCACACAGACAGGGATATAGCTCTCCCACAAGCCATTCCTGGTGGATAGCTACATTCCCAATTACTCTCAGCTGATATGTTTTGTGACCTTACAGATGAGCTTGGCAAAGAAATGCAGAATTATTTATAGATCAGCCACTTAAATGTCACCATTTTCCCCTTCTGCATTTGCCACAGTTCTTCCTCTTTAAAAGACAACATTCTTGGATTTACTGCTTCTCCTGCAGCATCCAGTGGCAAGCTCAGCACAAAGCAGTAGTAGCACTGAGAAACGATTTAGAGTGGATATGGCAATTTCCTATGTCTTTGGGGAGGCCAATGAGCACTCTGCAGGCCAGTTTCACCATGAGGATACAGGTAATAGGAGCTGACACAAAAGAGCAGGAGATCTTAAAATTAATTAAACACAGCTTAAATTAATTAAATATCCCATAAGTATCTAAAGCCTGGATTTGTGATTAGGTTGGTGCATAGCACTAAATAACAGAAACAGTGAAGACGGCTGGTTACATCCTTTCTGGCTGCCAAAGCAGAGGGACTCTGTCTCCCATCCCCGTCTCCTCTGATCCTGCTGCTCACCTTGGTAGTTCCCTTCTATTTCCTTCAAAAACAGGGCCAGTCAACCCAATTCAACATCTTCTGATCCCAAAGCAACAGTTTTAAGCTAACACAAGCTGCCAAAACCTCACAGACTTCCTGAGAAACTCAATGGTAGGAATGATCCGGTTTTTAGTTACATAGAGTCATCACAAAGGGGAAAATTGGTCCTTTAGCTGACCAAAGAGCCCCTGCCAGTTGCAGTTGCTTCATGCAAGCAGCTGCAGCAACATTTCTAGGGTACAATGGACACTCCCCCAAGCTTTGAGATAGTTGGCCAAGGTCCTGGACATTGCTCACTTACCCTCTAGCCATAAATCTCTGCTAGCAGAAGCTCTGACCTTTTCCTATAGACATGGTTACCTCAACTGTGAGCTTACATCAGCAGCTTCTATAAGCCCTGACCTGTTGATGCCCCTGATTTATACCTGCTGAACAAATGAAGCAAAACAAATTAACAACAGCTGAATAACCAGACATGGGGCTCTGAAGAGACTTGCATTGATTTACAACAACTGAATGCTTTTCCACCTGTTGCCCATAACTGTGCTTACACTGTCTTGAGGATTTGGTTTACAGGCTTCAGAGTCATACAGTCTTTATGGCAAAAGTTATTTTTGCCATAAATAGGTTTACCCAGCTGGCATAGTTTGACTTTAATTCGTTATAGTTCATCCACTATTATCCATTAGGGAGAAGTTCAAAATGCCAGATAAGTTTGGAGAGTTTGTATCTTACAACATTGAAGCATTCGCCTCAGTGAGATAAAACATGGTTCAGGCCTGTTCTCCTGTCTAGTTTTGTCTGCTTTAAAGCAGGGTGTCATTAAACATGATATGATTCTGTATGATTTCTGAAGCATACATTCTGAAATGCCTAACAAAAGCTTTTCTTTACTGAACTCATAGAATGTCAGGATGGTTTGTACTGGAAGGGACCTTCAAGCTCATCCAGTTCCAACCCCTGCCACGGGCAGGGACACCTTCCACTGGAGCAGCTTGCTCCAAGCCCCTGTGTCCAACCTGGCCTTGAACACTGCCAGGGATGGGGCAGCCACAGCTTCTCTGGGCACCCTGGGCCAGCGCCTCAGCACCCTCACAGGGAAGAGCTTCTGCCTCAGAGCTCATCTCAGTCTCCCCTCTGACAGGTTCAAGCCATTCCCCTTGGCCTGTCCCTACATCCCTTGTCCCAAGCCCCTCTCCAGGTTTCCTGCAGCCCCTTCAGGCACTGGAGCTGCTCTCAGGTCTCCCCTTCAGGAGCCTTCTCTTGTCCAGGCTGCCCCAGCCCAGCTCTCTCAGCCTGGCTCCAGCCCCCGCAGCAGCTCCGTGGCCTCATGCATTTTTCTTTATCTCAATTGAAATGTACCCAAGTGACCCAAAGGACATTTCAGTATTTCAACTTTCTCCCTCACAGAAGTACAAATTCACCATTAAAAATAAATATCATTGCTTGAGTCTTAAATTGGAATTAGATACTGCAGATGCAGATTGTGCAGGTATTTCTTCCATACAGAAGATGAACAGATATGGACATACAGATATGGACACGTAGCTGGTGCTGTTCCCACTCAGCTCTTTCCATACAGTGTTTCCAGGGTTTTCCCTGTGCCCTGGGCAGATCAAATACCTCGAATCAGTGCTGCAGCACAAGCAAGCACAGTGGAGATGTGGGATGTGAATATCTCACCCACCAGTAACTGGGTGCTCAGCTCCCTCTGTAGTGAAAGCTTGTATACAAGCAGATGCAGAGGACAACCTATGACCCCTAAGATGAGTTTCTAAGAAGGATGTGATTGTTTGGCTTCTGAGAGGGCTTGTTTCTTGCCTTTATTATAAAGGGAGCCAAGACAACTAGATCAGATCAAGCCACCTAATGTTTAAATAGCTTAACTTCAGAGAGATAAATCATCTCCACTGAGTTCGGAATGAGCTTGGGTGTATAGATCTCAGGCAACACTTGTACACGCTTATGGGCAGATGGCACCGACTTTTCACACTCATCCTCTCTATTTTCTTCCCTTTAAAGGCATCTTTTTCTCTATCGAGAGACCTTGACCCACTCAGGCTCCAGAATGAGACGCTGCAGTGGGATGCCTTAAATAAGGTGGGATGAATCCAATCCTGAATTAGTCTAGCACAAGGAAACTTACAATGTTCTACTGATGGCAGACACTGAACTGATGGATTTGGTGACATAATTGCTACTGTCGTAAAGGATAAAGTTTGCTGAAGGAGCACAGAAACCTCATTACTGCAAGGTGGGAATGTCAGTTGTTAAAAACACATCACAGAAGCTCCTTTCTTCTTCAGTCTTTTTCCCAAGCACTGTTATTATCTCCCCAGATATACTGCTGGATTGTGTCACTTCTTCATCTATATATCGTCCCTTGTATGATTTTAGTAACTCGCTTGTGTGAGAGAATTATGGCTTTGTTACAGCCTTTTATGTCTAAAGGAAATCCTACAATCAGTATCTCCACCGTCTTTAGCTTGCCTGCGAGCATCAGCATCAGCGTACGCAGTTACACTGTGTGTATGCACCTCTGCCATCTGATGGCTAAGCGCAGCAATAGCATGTCTAAGAGAGAGAAAATGCTTTCGCTGGATTTGTTTCTTTGAAAGTTATGCTCGCACACGGGTGAAACTGTTTAGAAGGTTTCAGTGTTTCAGCATTTATTTTCAGTATTACCAATAAAATAGATCTTCATGATTTGAGGGCTTATATTTTGTAGATACTTTGTGATACTTACTGTTTCATGCTGCTGGTTGTTGATAATGTATTATCTTGTGTTGTATATATTGAATGCGATACCATTATATATTGATTTGATGACAGAAAGATATAAAACATACTCTGTTCAAATAGCTGAGTGTGATTCTAGCTGTAAGCTGCAGCAACAGCCTGACCCAGGTTATTCCAAATGTGGATAAGCAGATTGATTTATCTCACCCAAATCTGCACCCGAAGTGAGTCCATCTGATCTCATCAGTATAAACTCCCTTTATGGTCAAAGAAAAAGGCATTTCTTGGGCACTTTTTATCTCTTAGAATAGGCACGTGCATACCCTAGGGTCCACAGACCTTGTTATACAATCATGGAATGGTTTGTGTTGGAAGGAACCTTAAGATCATCCAGCTCCAACCCCTGCCACAGGCAGGGACACCTTCCACTGGAGCAGCTTGCTCCAAGCCCCTGTGTCCAACCTGCCCTTGAACACTGCCAGGGATGGGGCAGCCACAGCTTCTCTGGGCACCCTGTGCCAGTGCCTCAGCACCCTCACAGAGCTTCTGCCTAAGAGCTCATCTCAGTCTCCCCTTGGGCAGGTTCAAGCCATTCCCCTTGGCCTGTCCCTACAGGCCCTTGTCCCAAGCCCCTCTCCAGGTTTCCTGCAGCCCCTTCAGGCACTGGAGCTGCTCTCAGGTCTCCCCTTCAGGAGCCTTCTCTTCCCCAGGCTGCCCCAGCCCAGCTCTCTCAGCCTGGCTCCAGAGCAGAGCTGCTCCAGCCCTCGCAGCAGCTCCGTGGCCTCCTCTGGATTTGCTCCAACAGCTCCACATCCCTCTTGTGTTGTTGCCCCAGAGCTGGGGTCTCATTGTTAGCTAAAAGAAGATCAGACGAGCAACGTGCATGAAGCTGGTTTTACGTACTTTAGATCTCAGTTTCACGTACTTTAGATCTCAGAGAGCCACAGTGTAGAAAGCAAGAACTCACACCTTGCTCTTCAAATTGGGAAACATAACCCTATTACTCTCTCATGTGGTCTGAAATATTGCCATGCTGCTCTCTCAGGCTAAGATAAGAAAGGTGTTTGACACATAATACATGGAAAGGTAAAGAAAAAGACCAGTTCTTGCTTCTTGTGGGAAGGAATTCTGCAGTTACGCTAGTTAGTACGAAACCTGGGTTCTTCAGGTCTTAGCCATGAGTGGTGAAAGACCTGTTTCCTGTTTCCAGTTTCTCCTTTATGACAGAAGGCGAAACCTTCTGTCGTAGGTACCGCTCAATTCTGCTAGAACAGTGGATTTCAACACAGCAGAATTGCTTGTTTCCCGAATTGGGAAACAGCCCTGGTGTGCATTTCAGCAGTTCTTGTATGGCCCAAGCAGAAGCTGCTGTGTAATGGCTTGTAAGTCTTTCTGGTACAGACTGGGTTACTGCCCAGATTTCCCTGTAGATCTTTGATCTCCCAATGTCTATACATATACATAAAAGGTCCATTGTTAACCTAATTCAAGCCTTTTGTGGAGCTGCTTTTTACTTTTACACTGCTGGGAGTTAGCAAAACAGGCATAACATTATTCTGGGATTCTTAGAGTAGAATAGTCTAGTCCCAAAGTGATGCTGTGCTGAATGCAAGCCCAGTTTTAAATATAAACTGACTTTGTCTCTGCTATTTCAGATAGTTGCCAGAAAATGCCTGGAAGAAGCAGTCCAAAACCCAAGAAGCAGTCTAAAAACTAAGAGGCCTAAAGCAGAGTCCACACAGCTAATGGTTTCAGATCTGAAGGAGATTCCTTTCTTTCACCAACAGTGTGGGAAAAAGGAGTTACTCAGGCTCCAGAACTCCTTCCTAACCAGATCTTCGTGGTAACAATAGGTAATGTCTTCAGAAGGGATCTGAAATATGTTTGAACAGGTTGTAATCTCTTGCCATAGCAGAGACATGGCTTTGGTGATGGGAAGAGTCCATCCATTTCTATGAGAATCAGGGGAACATCATGGACAAAAACACTGAAGAGCAAAGACAACAGGGAGGGGGGATGTGAAGACACTGACAAAGCCCACGGTTGTTCATTTCTTTCTGATTTATAGTTCAGAGAATAGAATTATCCATGCCTTAAAAATCTCTCTTTTCTTAACAAACAGTAACAACTGTAGCGCAAGCTCTGTTGTGTAATGGTGGTTTACTCTTTTCAAGCAATGTTCAGAGGCTGCTCAATGCTCCCCACTCGAGTGGATCCAGTGCTCAAATGCTTGTCATTTAGACTTTGCTGTATTCCACAGCACAATTCCTTTTCCCTTTGAATTTCGTCCCAAACATCTGAGCTCTGCCCAGGTGAAACATCCAATCCACTCACTGCATCACGTATCTTAATGCATAACGCTATTGCTCTGTAGTCAAGAATTGGGTCCTCCTGACTTCTCTTTAACCTTGTAGAGAAGGATGTTCTAATTGTCACCAGGAGCTGCAATTCTAATTGCAAAGCTGTGTGAATAGTAAAAACCTTTACAAAGTCTCATGTGTTCTCAACAGTGAAAAATCCATTCACTGATGGACTAAGGGGACCTGAAGCCGACAAAAGAGGTGAGAGCATCTCTGCAGAAACCAAGGTTGGGTATATTTCTTAGCAGGAACTAAACATGATTTCAGATGGATTTCAGGTACTCCCTACATGTTGGATCCCAACCCTGTGCC